AAAAGTTAAAGTATTTTGGTAATTCGAATAGGTAAATTTTATTGAAATATTAAACATTATTTTTGACAATATATTTTTCGTAAAATGCTCACATTATTAATTTTAAGAAAAAGTGCAATTACGATTAAATATAAAAGTGATAGCAGTTAATACATGCAGATAAACAAATTTTAACACATATATTTAACACATATTTTTGAACACATATAAATCCATTGTGAGATTTAAACTGAATTATAATATAATTGATTCAATAGTACAAAAAACCGTTTTTCAGAAATTGAACCTTATACATAATACTGTTTTGAGAATAATATCGGGAATATATGAATGAGTCTTATTTAAGTTTTCTTGAAAATTGAAAAATCAAGTATCTCCTTTCAATTTCAGAAGAAAACGTCTCAGTATTATTTTCGCAATCAAAGTATCAACTATCTCCAATAAATCAATTTATTCAAATATCTTTTCAAATCGCTATCTATCTGTCCCAAAAATATTGGAACATCTATAAACTAAAGATTTCCGAGATAATTTCAAGCAACATTTTCCTTTGCAAAAAACTTTCGTTACAGTTTTGTTAACACGCCTAATCACATGCTTAGTAGTGTTGATTACATTGTCGACCGAGCACAAATAAATTTAAGCAATATATCTCGAAAAAAATGTGTTAAATATAATAAATTTTTTTTATTGATAAAAAATTATATTAAATCATATTATGAATAATTGAATAAATAAATAAATATCATATTCATTAAGTTTTACTACTGAATTCATTTATAATTATCTATATGGATTGTACATGGATGATTTAATAAAAGAAGCAAAAAATAAACTGGCGTTATAATAGATAGATAATAGAAGTCAGAATAGATTCATTCGTGCTCGGTCAGCAACATATAATCAATTTTATTACGCTCTTCGTGATTGGCCAGTATTTTTTGTTAATAATTTGTTAACAGAACTGTAACGAAAGTTTCTGTAGATAATAATATTTATTAATATTTTCGTTTATCAAATATTAAATTATTAATATTACTTAGAAGAGACCAAATAGTCATTTCACAGATTAGAATTGGTCGTACCAAAATTTATACATTATTAAATTTCATATATATTCATACATTATCTCAAAAGAACAACCTTCTAAAGTTTTCTTTATAATGACAATAGAATATCTAATTTAGAATATCTAATTTTAAATATATCATTCTTTGTGATAAATTCAAATTAAAATCATTATTTAAGGAAAGCTTTGAGAACAAGAAAATACAAGACTTTTTTTTTAAGTTCATTTAAGTTCATTAAGGATATTAAATTATTTCACAAAATTAAATCTTATATATTTAATTATCTATAATGTCTAATTAATTTAAGTTATCGCTAACAATCTTGATGTTGATGCGACATTAAATAAAAAAAGAATAATATAAATACCGATTGAAATATTATGATATTTATTTACTCTATTACTATTTTATATTTGTAAACAAATACAGATAAGATTATTTCGTATATGTTTTGTATGTTGAATCATATTTTTGTTAGATTAGATACGATTAAGTTGCTGAATTTCTATTTCAACAAAAATATAATTTTAAAAACAAGAAGAATAATTGTATTTTTTGATATAATAACATTTAATAATATATTATATGCTGATATTTTTCCAATTTTTATTTCTATTATTTAATTTAATTCTAATCCAATTTTCAATTTAAAACTTAATTCAAACATAGGAATCAAATTAAAAAATATTTTTATGTATATCTCGGAAAGTAAAATGCATTAATATGCATAGATAAAATTTGTTTATGATAATTTTGGCAATATATTGCGCATTAAAATTGATAAGAAATCGTTAATATAAATAATTATTAATAAATTCTTATATAAAAATTGTAATAAAAATACAAAAAGTATCATATGATAATAGTAATTTTTTTGTAGATTGAAAGTTTTATGGAAATTTCAAAATCATCTTTATTTTTTTTAAATTGTTTGCTATACTTTTTTTATACTCTATACTATTTTTGATAATATAGAGAATGTTTTAATGAGTTTAACAATATTCATTCGAAATCATTTCATAATAAATATAAGATTAAATAATAAATCTTAACTTTATAATAAATGTTCGAAATAGCATTTCTTTATATCTTGTAATATTGAAATCATATAATATTAGAATCGCCTAATTGTCGAAACTTATGCACTTTTTATTATCATTTTCGAATTGATTGCAATAATATATATAATATATATGCAATAATATATATATATGATATATTGTATATAAAATATATGATATAATATATATATATTATATAATATATTGATTGCTTTTTTTGGTAAATTTTAAAAAAATATTATACATTCGAAAAAAGATAACAATAAAAATTGTGAAATAATCCGAAAATAATAAAAAATGTACAAATCTGGATTTTAATATTGTATCGATACAAACGGATATCATTTCGTATAATATATAAGAATATTTATTATAAAATAAGTTTTGTTATTTAATCATATATTAATTGATTGGAATAATTTTAAAAAAGAAAAATTTACAAGGAATTTTTTTTTACAATTCTTTTAAAATATTCTCTATATTATCTGTCAAGGATAACAAATTTAAAAAAATGCAGCAATTAATTTAAAAAAATGACTTTGAAATCTCCAAAAATCGTTTATCTATAAAAAAATTATTATTATCATATTATGCTATACAGCTCTTTTGACGTTATACAACTTTCATATAAAATTAATATTAATTTCAAATAAAAAATTTTTCCATATCTCTAATAATAATAAAATAAATAATAAATATAAAAAAATAAATAATAAAATCAATAATAAAAATATTTAGTAATATTTCTCTACCCTGTACAATTATGCTAGAATAGCTAAATGCATACATGCAAATATATATACATACATAATATTATATAAATAAAGAATTTATAAATAATTCTTTTAATTCTCTATTTATAAATAAAGATTTAGAAATAAAGATTTAGAAAAGATTTAGAAATAATTTAAATAAAAATTAGCGATTTAGTTTTAAGCAATTAAATTTTAATAATATTTATGTTTATACATTTTAAATTTTGTATTAAATAAATATATTTCTAATAAGATTAAAAATATTCTAATTTTTAATTTTAATTTAAATTTTACTTTATATATAGTATATTATAATTAAAAAAAAATTAAATTACAAATTAAATTCAAAATTAATGACATTTTTTTTTAAAAAAATATATTTTTATTTTAAGATATTATCATAAAAAAATATGATGCATTTATATTAAACCAATAAGTATAATAATAAAAAACTTGAAATTCTTTAAATTTTTCAAATATAAAAAATTATATTTTTATAAGTTTGAATTTAATTACAGATTGAAATTATAGAAGAATTATTTATCGAAATTTATGGAATATCTTATATATATAATGATAGTAAAAAATGAAAAATTGGATTATATTATGTATATTATATATGTATATATGTATATATAATATATGTATAGAAAAATTCTCTATTCTAAAATTTTATAATTCTGTATTCTAAAACTATAAAACAAAAGATAATAAAAAAATAGAAAATAAAAGCTATATAAAAATTAAGAAATTGCAGAACTAGAATTATATCGTGCGAACTATCATCATGATTTAAAATTATAAAAAAATATAATAGAAGTGATATTTTAAAATATCAATATATATATGTATATATATTTAAGATAAAACTACATACTAATGAAAATCATGCATTTCTCGTTTTAAAATTAAATCTTGCAAATGTTCGTATTCAAAATCATTTATTTATTACCGTACCGAAAACCTTATACTCATCTCATCAGCCAAATTTAGAATTTGATGACGCACACAATGAAGAAAAAGTGAACATTAAATGTAATATTCATCATGCACAATTATCGTGTACAATGATAAAAAATTAAAATACATATAATATTTTTATTTTAATGATGGAAAATGAATGAAAACTGAACATAAAAAAGACTGTATACAATTAAAAATAAAATTTTCAAACAAAAAAAATTTTTTGACTATCAAAATGTTATAACAATATATTATTGACAATATGAATCAAAATTTTGTCTTTTTATATTTATTGATCTTAATAATTTTATTTTAATCTTAAATAATTTTGTATTTATATTTTAGAAATTCATTATTAATTAACAAAAAAATTATATTATAAGAAAAGATAAAAATCTATAATAAAGTTTATTATATTAAATATAATAAAATATTTACAGACTTTTTTATATTTAGTTCTCAATTCTTAAAAAATTAAAAAAATTTTTTTTTTTTAAATTTCTTTTAAAAATTTTTCTTAATACTTTCATTATTATAACATAGTAAATATCTTGTATATCAAGATATTTCAAAAATTCAATTTTTGTAATATCTTATGCATTAAAATGTGTCCTTTAAGTTTAAAAAAAATTTTAAAAATTAAAATTAAAAAAAATATATTCTTATACATTTTACAATGCACTGAATTTATATTTAATATTTAATATGTAAAATTATTATTATAAAATTATTATTTATTTTAAGTTCAAGCAATAGTCAAATTTTTATAAATTGAAAGATAAATTTCTATATTTATATTTCTCTATATCTTTTTTATAATAATTTATATTTTTTATAATAAATATTTATATAAGATAAATTTCAATGTATAGTTATGGTTGTAAAAATATAAATCTATATATGTTTGCAATTGATTTAAAGGGACTTTGAATATATAGGGAATTTTGAATATATAAGATATACAATAAATATAACTCAAATGCGAAAATTTTAAGATTATTTTTTTGAAAACTTTTTATAATTAAAAAAGAACAATTAAAGAAGTTTTATATTATTTGATGAATAAATAGCATTTAATAGATATTTTATGAATACGCGTGCATTAAGGCAATTAAGGAAGAAATTAAAAATGATGAAAATAAGAAGCATACCTCCTGAATGCGAATTTTTCTATGCTTGGGCACTGTATCGTTTAGAATAATCTTGCTGCTCTCATTAAAGGGACGAAGATCCTTTAACGACTCAACACTCGGTGACGCGTCGGCATTACGTCCAATTTCACCGGAAGCAGATTTCTTCACTCTATTTCCACATTTTTCTGCAGCTTCCAGGGGATTTACATAGAGATTACTGTCTGCTTCCTCAGTCAAATCACCCTGTGAAATAGTGCATTATTACATTATATCATAAATTTATATACTTTATAACATAAGGTTTTTGAAATTAATATATTTTAAAATATTCACAAATTATATTAAATTAGTCAAAAAAATATTTCAAAAAAAATTTAAATATTTTCAAGAGAAAAAATATTATGAAGAAATTGATTTTAGAGGGTGAATTTTAAAAGATAAATTAGTTATTAAAGTTTTTGTCTTAATAGGACATGTTGAATTTTTTACAATATTTGATTACTAGATATGAAATCATTTATAAATCATTTATATTAATAGTTATATTTAATTAACTATTTATAATAAATTTATCTATTATTTGAATAAAAAGTATTTATATAAAATATTTTATTTAAAAAATAAAATAAAATTAATTTTCAATAATGCAATAGTTCAATGCAAAAAAAAGACAAAAAAAAATAATTATTGTATTATATCTTTTTTAAATGAATTTTTTGTTTAATGTAATCTTCTATACAATGAGTAGTTTATACTGTTGTATATATATAGTTGTATATAATTTAATCTATATATAATTTAAATAAAATGTATATAATTATTTTCAAATATTTATATTTTAATAATTTAAATTATATTAAAAAATTGAATTAAATTAAATCACCAATTTATTTAAAAAAGGAAGAATTATGTATAAGTTTTATATATTATAAAAAAACATGCTAAAATATATTTACAGCAATTTATCAAACAAAATAAAAATAAATTAATGAAATGATTGAAAACGTAATTGAAAACATTATTTTTTTTTTTTTTTTTTGTCTTTTTTAAAAACAATGCATTCATAAGTAAATATTTTTTTTTCAACTGAATTTTTCGTAAATTTATATCTCATTCTATTTCTAAAAGCTTACTTATTATTATATATTTTTATAAAACTAATTCTAAATTTTAGGAATTTTTAATCTAAAATGTTCTAGGTTATAGGAATTTTAGGTTTTGTGGAATCCTAAACTACATTCGGTTTCATTCAAAACAAATTTGATAATTTACTTTTCAAGCTTGTCAAAATTATTTACAATTTTAATTGAAAATCTTAGTATCTTGTTAAATAGAAAAAAATATTGTAAATTGCGAATTTCAATGTTTATTCGCATTAAAATAAAAATTTATAATTTAATTCGGCAGTATGATAGTATTGTACCTTATTATTATCCGCCGAATGGCCAGCAGAAGAAACCTATGATAATTAGTATTCGTTCCTGTTGTTGAAATAATCAATGTAAAAATATATGTATATACAATAACTTTGTGCATATCATACAATAACGAATGGTAAATAAAAACTTTACAACTATATATAAGTTATACATACAATATAAAATGGCTGATATTTAAATAATTGATTGAAAATGTTATTTTATATGTTCTATTCTATATATTATTTTTATCAAAGAAAATAAAAAATTTAATCAATATTGATCATAAAACATCAACTTTTTATTTAATGTAAAATTTATTTTATAATATTATAATATTATATTATTATATTATTTAATAAATTTTATTGGAAGGATTAATGTGAATTTTTGCTGAAAAATTGTTTAAAAATTTCATTATAACAAGAAAAAATTCACATTGTATAATGTGAGAAACAAGAAATATTAGAATGTATATATAAAATATTAATATATTTATAGAATATTTTGGGATATTAATTTTAGAGGCCAAATAAAAAATATACAAAAGATATAAAATAATGTTGAAGTTTATTTATTATATATATATATATATATATATATATATAT